AAAAAAATGCTGAAAGTGCAGCTCTGTTTCCTTTTAGATCCAGTCTATTGGCTGGAGCATGCATCATTTTACATTCTGCAGTAGTTTGTCAGTTTATTAAAGTTTTTTTTTTTCAGAGAGCATGAGACAACATGAGAAAAGAACGGGTTGCATTAACCTGCAACATGAGATTCTTTAAAGTTGTGTTCTTCAAATTGCTGTTTGGACTCCAGAAAATTCAACCCAGTTGTCAAATCATTAAATGCTTCATTAATGGAGGCTTTTATTCACATTGTTATATTTTGTGCAGATGGCTGGTTTATGATTTTTTAAAAGCATTTCTTTTGAACTTGCGGGGTTTTTTTTCAACAAAGCTATATTATCCAAATTCTTCAATTCTTTCTATTAATGTGTTTTTTTTAACTGAAAAATAAATTATAAATTTAGAATATTTCCTCCACTGAGATTCTTATTAGGCACAGACAATCTTTTTTTTGGTATCACAGTTTGAGAAAGTATTAGAAATCACATTGCTTTTTCATGAATATTGACTCAAGCATCATTCACCGCTGTCTAAAACAACAAACTACCACATATCCACTAAAAGCCCCCTCTCATCCTTGTAGTTTAAGTCTCCACCAGCAGCATCCACCCCTGATGTAACACCAGCACCGCTCTCTGAGGCTCCATCCTCTCCTGTTCAACCTTGCCTCCTCTCTGATCTTCTAACAAACACATCCACGCCAAAGTTGTTTCAGATCGAGCTCCCATTCAGCGCCGGCGCGGCTCCTCTTTGTCGCTCTGCGGATGAATCATCCAGCCTCTTACTGGAGGCTCATTGTGAACTTCAGAACACATCAGACGTCAGATTCAGGAGCCGTCAGCTCTCGTAATGTCACACCACAGAACGCACTGGCGTTGTTTCCATCTCTTTTCCGTTGTGTATCCTTTTATTTTCTCCCTCATACACTTTACTCACTCATGATGACTATTTTGCATGACCGCTTGGACTCAGCATTTAACATCCTCCTATCTGAATAAGGTTATTAATAGGGTTTATTTTTAAGTGCACTCCAAAACATAAAGCAGGATGGTGTTTCAATGAAAATATGAAGAAGCAAGTCTCAGATCTATTTTCTTTTTCAATAAGCTGACTAATACTACGGTGTATCTTGAGTCTAAATAGAAACTGTGTCCATGACGTTCTATTTGTGTGTGCACTTTCATCGTCAGAGGAGGCGGGAGGGGAAAAATACACATTTGCATCATCTTCTTACACTTGAGACGTTACTTTCATCCAACAGCTTATTAAAATGTTCAAATCTAGTTTTTCACAATTATCTAACTTTGTGCAGGATGTGCTGACAATAGGGTGTTTCATTTCTCCTTTTATTAGTCCTTATCCTGTTTTTTTTTATTTATTTTCTTTTTTCATTTCTACAATGTCTTTCTGAGTTTCCTATTTTAGCTCTGGGTCTCCTCACACATTTAACCCCATCATGCATGTCGGCTCTGAGCCTCTTTTCAAAAAGAAGGGATTTAACCAAAACGTGAAATTTTCTTACCTCCATCTTTGGCAGCACTGATATAAAAATACCGTGCGTGTCTAAAAATAGCACACCAGATAAACTGAAAGCATATGCGGGGGTGAAGATGATGTTCCTAATCTCTCGTGGCTGAAATCTGTTTTTCTCTTTTTTTCAGTAATAAGTACATTTTATTTTTTCTTGTTTTTTAATTTCTTCTTAGACATCAAGGTCAGTGTGACCCAGAAAAAAAAAAAAGAGTGACAAATGAGGAGTGTCTTCTACAACAATCAGGATGTCTGATTGCAAAAAAGCTTTTTCTACTAAACCCTTCCTGATTTATTATATTTTAATGCTTTTTTCACTTGATCTTGTCATAATTTCCAGTTCACTTGCAGGACACAGTGGTTCAAACTTATCGGTATGGTACTTGCACCCTCTGCTGGATAACACAAATCTTTTATCAAAAGAAAAAAGAAAAACACTGTCCTCAATGATAAATATCTTTAAGTATGAGGTTGCTGAAGATCCCACATCAGTTACGATTCTTCTTAAGAGCTAAATAATTTACCTGCTAAAATACCTGTTGCTGGATGCTCGAAGGACGAGGATGTTTTTGCTCGTGTCTCTCTGTGTGTGTGTGCTCTTGTGTCTGAATGAAGTTTAAAATAAACTTGCAGAAATCATTGGGTTGACATCTACAACTGATTAATGTTGGAGTCAACCCAATTCAAAATGGCTACCACAACCAAGTGAGCTTAGAAAGCACAAAAATAGCTTTAACTCAGCTGATTTTTTACAAAAATTCAGCTAAATTTTGTTGATAGTAGCTGAAAATGAGCCCCAAAGATATCCATCATCTTTACCCACTTCTTCCTTTTCGGGTCACGCGGGTCACAGATGCTCATATAGTCACTGTGCAAGAGGAGGGGGACACCACAGGTCTCCAGTCCATCACAGGGACACACAGAGACAAACAACCATTCACTCTCTTACTCACACCTAGAGGCAATTTAGAGTTACCAATCAGCCTAACATGCATGTTTTTGGTTTGTGGGAGGAAACGGAGTACACGGAGAAAACCCACGCACGCACGGAGAGAACATGCAAACTCCACCCAGAAAAGATTCAATCCAGTGACCTTCTCATTGAGATGCAACAACTCCACTGATCCACGGTTCCACCCCCACAACAGAGATTTTGAGCACTAATAGAATGCTGAAGATAAATATTAAACATTTTGCCATTAACTATTTGGAGTCAACTCTGTCTGTCTGTTAGCAAAATTTCTCATGAACTGGATGGATTTTAACTGAACATTCAGGAAAAGAATACTGAATTTACATCTACACTATTTCAAGTTGGCCACCACATACAACAGACCCCGGTAAGCACTAAAATGGCTATAATTTGGGAAATTCTACAGATATTGGGCTAAAACTTGATGTGGTGGTAGCTGAGAGTCGTCCACAACACATAATCTGAGTGTGACATCTGCCATTTCTCATCAAAAGATGATCTCAGTCTAAAACGCATGAAAAGCAGCAGGCGATATGCGTTCCTCAAGGAATGCGTAGATTTTTATTTATTGTCTATGCCTGCTTTGGTGATGTACATTGACATTAAAAATAATAATAATTTGTAAATATGGATTATAAACTTGTAATGGCATGTTGATTCACCAGCATATCTAATAACTTCAGTCAGTTAGCACGCTTTCTGAAGCTTTTAGACATTTTGCAAAGACACACACACAAAAAGACACTGCTGTGCTCCAGTCCCTCATAATCAGGTCTTGATGGGCTATTTTTAGCTTCTTCTGCTCGGGGCAAGTGAGTCCTGATGGGATTCTATAGAGATCCTGACGTTATGTAAGAAAAAAAGAGTTTGCAGAGTTTGGCATCTCAGCTTGTGTTTTGTATGCCAAGAGGAAGTTTGGGTTTTCAGAATAATTCACATTTCTGCTGTTTTCTGTTCGATTCCCACTCGTGCATCACTCCTCGTTGCTCCGTCCATCACACAAACACTGATGTCCGCTCATTATGTCGCCCTGACTGGACGGTTGTGTCCGAGGCGACTTCGCCCCACAGTGACATCAAAGCAAACAAACACTCATGCTCTTTCAACTTCAAAAACAAAATCTGCATTTGTCATATTTTTAACGAGTTGCTTTAATATATTCAGACTCTTTGATGTCCAAGTCATATTGTTTTAACCATACCTTATTTAGCATTGTTCAACTTTCATGAATATTTATGGATAATATAAAAAAAAAAAAAGGCCATTTTTTATATGCATCAGCGGTTTCGGAGGCTTTATTTAGTGCATCGCTGGGTACGTTTTGCCTCAAAGGAACCACTGAAGACTGATTGAAGCTTTGGCCTAGATTGAGACTAGTTATTTCTGGAACACATTAGTGCACAAGGAGCTAATTGTCTCCTCATGAACTTTTTGTCTTGCAGAGGGATTTCTGAGGAGAGGTGAGAAAGACCATTTTCATGGGCTATTGATTACCTTTTAAGATGAAAAAAAAAACTTATTTACAGATGCCTTTGCTTTGCACATTCAAGCTCTCGGTGGGTAAGTCGATCCCGCCCTGCTTGGTGCTCAGGTGACAGTCACAATAAAATTCTTCATATTGGGATGTAACGGACACCACAGGAGCCCGATTTGAACGGAAAACACACATCCATTTTTAATCTGCTGTGCTGGGGTAAGCACAGGGCAGATTATTGATCCTGTCTTTACCTGCGTCTCACCTGAGAACCTCCATCTGCTGTGGAACTATCAGCACTTTCACTGAACAGCTGTTGACCAGAACCGCAACAGTAGATTCTATTACAAATATTGAAAATAATAAAGGTTTTAAATAAGTTATTTTAATTATATATCTTAAGTTTGATTCTTTTTATATGGTTTTTGCCTTAAACACCAGCTGGGTCCACATTTGGGAGGTTTAAAGTTCTATTACAAACATTTTACCATTCAAGTCTTGTATATTATATATTATGTGTATTATAATAAGAATAAAATTAAGATTAACTGGATTGGAATGGATCTGAATTTGTGATTTTGACTTGTTTTATCTGCTGAGTTGTTTTTTTTTTTTTGTTAATTGACATGAACTATATTAAACTCAAACGAGAAAAGTTGCTTCTAAAGTTGTTTAAATGTCATAAAATTGATTGCAATCAGTTTGCTTAAAAACCATCAAATCCCTCTTCATCTTTTTTTCTTAAATTAGGATTGTTTGAATTAAGCTAAATATTTCCATTTTGTGCCCATTCAAAAAAAAAATAAATATATATAGCGTTGTTCATCTTGTGGAATTCTTTTTTGCTGACAAAACTTTAGGATGAGGTCTTCATCAGGGCTTAAAACAGAAATATTTGCAAAGATGAGAGTAAAAACTGGTCACGCCCTGATGAAGATTAGGAACAACTTTTTTTTTTTTTTTTTGCCTCAGACTTTATTCTCCACTTCAGCTCCTCTTACCTGCCCAAACACTGACTTGACCATGGGATGCAGGCTGGAGTCATACTCGGATGTTGTGCTCAGCCGTTTGGATCTGCGGCCGGATGCGGCTCTGACAGGTGGGTCGGAGCTGAGGCTGGACGAGGACCCGGTGAAGTCTCTCTGACTGGGTTCAAAGAAGAAATCCGCCTCGTCCGGGTGTTTAGGGTAAGATAGGGTCGGGGGTGTCCTCCTGCTTTGCCCCTGGAGGAGCGCTGCGGAGGGATGCTCCTGATGATGATGTTTGGATTTGGAGGACTTGCTGCGCTCTGAGTGAAGCGTGATCACCCTGTGCCTCTCCTCCTCCTCCTCTTCCTCCTCCTCCTGATCCAGGTGGCTCGGCTGCCGGTGGGAGCGGCTCCTCTGCACCCGGTTCTCAGCTACATGTCGGGACTCGGCGTGTCTTGGCTGGCATAGGGGTCTCCGAGCGCTGGTCTCACATTCCTCTGTCCAGGCTGCATCCTCAGAGGGACGACGATGATGATGATGATGATGATGGGCGCGGGAACCCCGATGCGGACCGTGATCCATGTGCGCGGACTTGCGCCCCGAGGACCTGAGCAGGGAGGTGGTGGAGTCGCTTTTGGGGAGAGGGGAGCTCATCGTTGCGCTTCTCTCTGAGGGACGAGGTGGATGAAGAGGAATCCAGATGTTCTCTTTAATCCATCACCGGACGGAGCGCGGACAGGTGAGGACGGAGCAGCAGCTGAGGGTGAAGTGCTGCCTGATGTGGCAGCGGGTCGGCTTTCAGGAGGGGGGAGTATCGTTGTTGGGAGAGGGGGGGCTCCACCAACTTTGGACTACAGCTCATGTGCTGCAGGATGTCGCACAGTCCACGCACAAAAGTTCATTAAGACGCACGTCACCAGCAGATAATTACTCCCATTAGCTGCTGATATAATCTCCAGAGGAGGGAGTGGAACCATTTTCAATCTCTGTGATTGATGAGAACATAAAGGAGACACGCGCAGTGACGATTCCAGTTTGGTGTTTTTTTTTTTTTTTCGTTCTGTATTTTTCCAGCTGAAAGTCAGAACTTTGCTGAAATTGCAGGGTTTGGCAAAAGAATGCTCCTTTTTTTTCACCCCACAACTAATAAAGCATTTATTTTATTTAATCCAGATGAAATTTTCATTTTAATTGAAAGGTAATTTTTGAGCCATGCATTTAAGGATTCAAGGTTCTTTATTGTCATTCACATCACATGTGGTACTGTGGAACGAAACTCTGTTCACAGGGTCCCAGTTACATCCAACAAAAATACAAATTGTAAAGAAAAATAGCAAGATCCAAGACATGAACTAAGAATATACTAATACAGTACAAAACAATGCGCCAAACAACAGCAGCACGAACATGAGTCTGTGTGAGCAGATGAGGATGAATGAACACAGCAACATGAAATAAATCAGCAGCATGAGATCAGCATCATGGATAATCAGCAGCACATATCAACAACCAAGTGGCACTACAGTGATTTTTTTCACAGTGATCATCCTGACTAGAGATTCATGAGTCTAACAGCTTCTGGGTAGAAGCTGTTCCTCAGTGGTTCTACACTTAATGCTCCTCAACCTTCTACCTGAGGAGAGCGGGGCAAAAAGTGTGTGTGCTGGGTGAGTGGGGTCCTTCATGATGCAGGTTATTTAGAAAACAGCTTCACAACTAAAACTGAATATTTTTGATTAAATGTTAAAGGGGGCCAATGCAGTCCAGATTTCTACATTGTAATGTTCTAATCTAAGCTAGAACGCCTTCATTTTGATGAATGAACATGGGCAGCATGGTAACCACATATCTGTGTCCCTCACTCCATGTTAAAGCACAGACTGAAAAGTAAAAAGTAAAAGAAAAGTTTCAATATTTTAATCTAATTGTCATGTTCTAAGACTGAATTACCTTACAAATCAGCTTAATATATCATGGGAAAATGTGGCTATAACTGTACCAGTCAAATAACTAAAAACAAAACCCACTTCTTTTCATTTTATTTGCTCACTGTGGGTCAATGTTCTCTCAGCAGATGTCCAGAGACGGAGGGCAAAAGTTAGGTGATATTGTTATAATACAGTTTGCAGCCAATGAAACAGCTGGGCTTCTCTGAATTATGTTTGACAGAGAAAAGCAGAGGAATGTGAGCAGCTTTTACTCTCGTTTCTCAGGGGAATTTTTGTTCTCTGACATCTGTGTCTCTCCTGCTGCAGGGAGAGCCAAAGTAGCATCACCCCCAATGCACTAATGTTGGCTTCAACAGTGGCCTGTTTTATGTGCTTCATCAAGAAATGATTAAAACCCAACGTAATTTGTGTTATTTACCTTTCTATCAACACTAATAACACATTTTTAGGATGTTTGGTTGTGAAGTCTGAAGACTTACTGGAAGTGTAAATCATATTTATTACAAGATATTTAATAGTCCAGATGTCCAGATGACCTGAATGAAAACTGTTGGATTTCATACCTGGATTATTGAACATGGACTTTGTTGTTTTCAACCAGTTTGACAAGACTGTCAAAAAGGAAGAGGGCCGGCAATGGAGGAGGGGCGTACCAAAGAGACCATCTTATCACAAGCAGAACTGGTTTGTTCCACTTTGGAGTAAGCTGTTGGGGGAAGAATCAGTTTTGTTGTGTTTCCTTGACTGATGAAGCCTTCTGGATCGAAGGCGAAACATTTCAGCACAAAAACAGAAACTGTCCAGATGACCTGATTGAAAACTGATTTTTGATTTAATCCACTAAATAAAACAAATAATAATAATAAAAAAAAAACAACACAAGGGGGTGCACCACCACCGGTGGACCATCGCCGCAATGTTTTTTTCATTTAGTGGATTAAATAAAATAAATCTAACTTTTGCAGCCTAATAATAGTTGTGGTTTTCCTGTGAATTATTTGCAGTATGATAAATGGTAGGAGAAATAATATATGCTGCCGATGTTTTGTTGTTCTTTTTTTGTCGTTGTAAATAATAAATTATGTGTTTTGGGGAATAGCATCATGAGTTTCTTTGATGTCACATCGACTAGTTGATGTTGACTCGACTTTTATCATGTTGAAGTCGACTTTTAAAAATGTGTTGCCGTTCAACCCTTATTCTGTAGACATGAGGTCATGGCAGGGGACAGTCAAGCCTCGGACTGCTATATGGCCCATTTCAAGTCCACAGAGACAACGAAACATGGGAAAAAAAAAAAAACATAATCATGTGACATATAAAAAACAAAGACATTTTGGAAGAAAAATCTGGAGATTAAAAATAAACATGCAAGAAGATGGAGTTTATACCAACGTCAACATTAAATTTTAAACTGCCAAACTTTGGTGGCAAACACTGCAGCGCACACAGCCGTGGCTCTGCGTTCACACATTTATCATGAATATTCTTGAATATTCTGGCAAGACATTTTTATTCTAAAGCCCACTTAAATGTTTTTCTTTCAGCTGCAGGGGTCACCACAGCAAACTCACGTGAAAGATTTGGCAATCTTTTTTCACCTGATGTTGCCTTTGGGCTCGAACCTGCAGTCTCAGGATTACAAGCCACTGAGCTACCACCCCCATTACTGTCAACACTATTGTTCTCCACCGTCCGCTCATATCTCACGTCTGTTGTTTCTTAACGCTGCCCTTCAGAGCAATTTAACGTTACTGAAACTTTAATCAGCATGATAAATAATTCACCACACACTGATATGGGCCTTTACAGAATGAACAAAGAGTTTCCCCATATGGCTAAATCATTCAAACATTTTGCACAGGCAGTGAATAAACATGCATGAGTGAGATATAATATCAATAAAACTGTCAGGGTCTGTCCAACAAAGTTAAGTCAGGTCCCCTGGACAGATTCTTCTTGTTGAAACATTTCGCCTTTTATCCATAAACTTTCTGACAGTCTAACAAAGTCTTTTCGACAAAAGACAAAAAGTTTCAACAAGAAGAATCCCCTGTGGTGGGACGCCTGGAGGACTGGTGCAGGAAGAACAACCTTCACATGATCAACGTGAAAAAGACGTTATACCACTTTTCCTCCAGATGAAGTCAGGTTTTGATGGATGGATGGCAGTAATTCAGCATATCAAAGTTCATGCTAAATAATCCAGGTTAAAAAATCCAAGTAAATTGAGGCTGGATAGTTAAAAAAATAAAATAAAACAAAGAAACCGTCCAGATGACCTACTTCATACTTTGTTCCATTTTATCCGTATTAATGTGGAATTTAGAGGTTGAGCCAGAAGCATCAGCAGCAGCTAGCTGTAGCATCTGGAGTGCAGCCTCAGATACTTTCTGCTGGAATAATATATTTCTGCAAGAAAAAAAACATCTAATACAAAACTGACAGTAGTGTGAAAGTTTATAATAGCAATCCATCTTGGTCTTAACCCCAGTCCTTGAAGGTCCTTTCAAAATTCTACTTTATTTCTCCAAACTGAGGTCATTCAAAAGGTTAACTATGACAGGTAAGACAATGATTGTTCAGGATCATTCAACAAAAGTCCATTTCAAAAGATCTGAACTACCCCTTTAAAGTCACTTTTAAGTCACAACCCCAACATTTCCCACAACATCTCATCCGTTCCTTTGGGGCTGGTGTTTCTGTTTAATTGTCAGCTCGGCGTCACCAGCAAGAGGTGACCAATCAGAGTCCCTCCTTCACGCGCTCCATCAGTTTTTCAGCTCTGACTCTTCATATTATGTTCTCCTTTGTCGGCCGTGGGCTTTTACGTTCAGGCCCAGTTTTCAGCCAATCACAGCATGCCTTTACACGCCTCACTGGCTGTCGCTTCCTGTAGTAAAAGTTAAAAGTTACACGAGGTGGCATTCAAAGGAAGAACAAAATGATCTGTGCAGTCAAGCAAGTGAATGAGTGAGTGGCTCCTGGACTACAAATTACATTACTGCAAATACACATTGTTTAAATCATTTAAAAATACTCATTAAGCCTAAATCCGTTTTTTTTTCCTTCTATAAGATAACTTCGTTACAATGAACTTTGCATAAATTAATTTTTTCAACTTTTGGCTTAACAAAACTATAGAAAATGATTGATTATTGTGGTAAATCTGCTTTCTATGAAAATAAAAACAGGAACTCGCCTGCCGTTAAATGCAGGAGTACCTGATCAGCTGCTTCAGCACAAAGCACAACGAACTAAGTCCTTAAAAGGAGAGTTACTTAACGCTCAGAGTAAAACTGAGGGACTCTTTTCATGGTCAGACTTGTGTTTTAATTTTTCAAAGTGCTACAATACAGGCGCATTTAAAAAAAATTAGAATATCGTGAACAAGTTCAATTTTTTGTCAATAATTTCAGAAAGTGATATATTACATGGATAGAGTGAAATATTTCAAGCCTTTATTTCTTGTAATTTTGTTGATTATGCATACAGATAATAAAAAAACAATGATAATTCAGTGTCTCAGAAAATTAGAATATTCCACAGTCAGCTTTTGGTACGTTCGACTGGGCTGGAGCCAAGTCCTGCTGGAAACTGAAATCGGCATCTCCATAAAGCTCGTCAGCAGAAGGAAGCATGAAGTCTTTAAAATGTCCTGGTAGTTGCTGTGTGGACTTCAGAAAACACAGTGGACCAACACCA